CACAGGCGTGCATTTAAACATTCCATACAGAAAGCCGGATTCAAATGAGGGCACGTCTGCAGAAGGCCGTTTGATGTTAGGTAAGGCTCCTCATTACCACCGTCAGACGCAGAGAGCGATCCGTAACAATATTCAGAATCCCCACAGCACCTCGAGCCGAAGCTATTATTTGGATGTTACCGAGCGAAACTGATCAAAGTTCCAATTTATCAGTAGATCTGGGTCTGCCCGTGCGTCCCCTCAGGGTAAATACAGACAAACGAGGAACACATCAAACCGTGTTAAGGTGAATCAAAAGTGTTTTTATACCGTCTGCAGAGGAGAGCGATTTGTGTGAGATTGTCATAGTGTTTTTTGTCAAATCTAATGAATGTGCAGAACGCCCAACTGCCATGATAACCTTGTTACGCTCACACTCACAGTCGTTTGAGCTACTTCCCACCAAGCTGTTTTTCATTTTGTGCGAAAATAAAAACTTATTGTACTTGCAAAACAGACACAATGGAGTTGCTTTCGAATTGAGGGTGTTTCTTTTGGACCCCCTTGATATAAATATGAGTTTGGTTATGAGAGAGGTGCTGTAAGGATGGAAACAATCCTTAAAACAAAACAGTTTCTGAATTGTTTCTCTGAAGGCCGTGTTGTTTGGTTGAACCGTTCACAACAGCTCTGTGCAAACAAACATGCAAATATATGTTAAGATGAAGCCTATATGTGTTTACAGCTTCATACAAAAACCTTGTGTGAAGAGTATGAGGAAAATATGACCACTCTGCCAACTCTGTGGTCAAAAGGATCTAAAATAAATGATTAAGCCAGTGTTTATTCAACCAGTGAGCCATGGCAGGGCAGTGACCTTGAAATGTTGTTTGTTGTGCCTTTGTAGGGGACTATAATTAAACTTATAATTATAATTATAATTAAAACTAGGAGTAAAAACACCAAATATTTAATAGTGCTCCTACATCTTAGAAAATCAAGGAGTGAACATTAAAGGGTTAATTGAGAAGTGGTTCCTTGAATGCACTAAAACAATACATTTCCAAAAAAGCAATGTCACCTCATTGGTCAAAACAATGTGAAAAGAAAATGATGGAAGATAATTGTAGACTTTTCTTGACCTTCTTGGGTTTTCTTTATAAAACACTGATGGAAATGAAATAACTGGTGGTGCCATGTGTTTGTTTTCAATGATAAAGAGTGCTACAGCTCAAAAAGGTTGATCGATCAATACTACCACTAGTATCAAAACTAGTTCATCATTTCAGAAAGTATAGCTCAGAGATCAGGCGCCCCAAAGCATTGATTTGTTTGTTTGTCTGTGTTTTAGTGTTGGGTGGACTTTTGGAGGTTTTTCTCCAGTTGCTTTGATCAATGACCAATTTACTAATCATCAACTATCTCCAAAGCGGTTGAATCAATGCTCCTTCTCAGCTGCTCTCATTTTGACTGTGTATTGACAGAAAAGTTTTCCATTCAGAAGCGAGGCCGACCCCGACTTCACCCATGACCAGAAAACATGCTGCAAATGCTGCACTCTTGCTCTGAACTTGCCTGGTCTTAGCATACCCTCGTACTCATTTCATCCCATGGCTCTACTCCCCACGGGCTCTGTTAGTGGCAAAGGAGATGGCTAAAGCTAGGTTAAATACCAAATGCCTCACTCACTCGGGCTCATCGCATACGTCAGGGTAAACTCAGATCGTTTCAATCTGCAAAAGGAGTTAACCCCTCCCACCTGTAAGCGGAACCCAATGGAGCAAATCCAGAAATGAGTATGAATGAAATAAGAACTATGGTATGGTAAGACCAGGCAACACTGACCTAACCCAATTGAATAAACAAAACTATTCAAAGTTAAACATGAGAAGACTTGAGCAAACCCATAAAGTTGGGGAGTGATTAAAATACCTTCGAGGATGACTTCTTTGCCCGTTTTCTTCAAGGCCTGAACCGCCTCGTCGTGTGTGGCCTCTCGTAAGTCAAATCCATTGACAGATAAGATAGCATCGCCCACATAAAGGGCCTCTGTCTGGTCCGCTGCCAGCCCTTTGAAAATCTTTGAGATGAGAATTGGCATCTTGTTCTCCTTTCCACCTGCACAACACAAGTCAGGTAAGGTTCATTACGTCCGTGGTTCATTGAATAATCACACTTAATTAATATTTGATTTAGTTGTTGATTAAAACAGTAATCGATCACTTAAGCATGCAGAGAAGAGGTTTTTATGACTTGGCTAATTCTATAATGACTGCAGAATCAAATTAAAATGTGTTAACATCAAACAACCCAAATGTGGAACAAGTCGTCTGCACAAAACTGTTCAACTCCAGGAGCATTACTTTGTTTGGGTCAAAAGTATAAACCAGACATGTCCAAACTCAGGCCCGAGGGCAGGATGCGGCCCTCAGTGTCATTGTATGTGGCCCTCCGCCTTCCTAACCCAAATTAGTCTTTGAGATCATAAACACAAGTTCACTGTGTCATCCATCCAACTTCAGCTCAGCCAATATAAACACGTCATAACTCGATCTAAAGCCAAGTACGTCTGGAATTCAGTTGTTGACTTCATTTGTACAAACTGTTCTGAGGTGGTTTTTGATTGTGTCACTTTCATGAATGATGCTACTGAAACTGGTGAGATGGTAAACATGTGTCATTCAGCCAACTTCAGTTCTATTATCTTCAGATTATGTTATATGACTGGTCTGGTGAACTAAAGTGGCCCTCTTACTAAAATGTTTGGACACCCCGGGTATAAATCTTTTAAGAACCCATCCATCCATCCATTTTCTTCCCCTTAATCCATTTCTGGGTCGGGGGGGTGGCAGTCAGAGCTGCACCCAGTACACACAACACAACCCCTCACTGATCCTCCTGCAGGTGCTGAGTCCACTTTTAAGAACCATATTTTTTAAATCAATTAGTTACCCCCAAACAATCAGCCAACTAATTGAATTTAGAAAAAAAAAACGTATTTATAGCCACTCCCAACGTCTTTGCTACACCTTTTTCATGCATTTTTCAGTCATATTTATTTTACTGTATTCAAGGCGCTCGGAAACTTTTTTATGTTTAAATACTTTGTTAATCTGTGAAAAAAGTAGGACCCAGAAGTATGGCCACCTGCATGTGAAACCAGATGAGTTTATCACCACTGTATATGGAGTGAGATAAAACTCTAAAACTGTGAATGTGGAGCGTCTTTGAGTGTCTGAAAAAGCACGACATAAAACTGGCATATTATTAATTTAAGCGTCCAACAGCATGAATTAATAAAATATCTTGTTTTAGCAACTTTGAATGGAAAGTTTCAATCAATTTTCCAATTATAATTTCTCAAGTCAGATTCATATAATTCAAATATTTTCACTACTATTTTGACACAAATATCTAACATTTAAAAAGTAGAAAAACACAGGAGCTAGTGTTGTTGTAAGACTTTAGAAGGTCGGCAGTAACATGATGAATTTAGATCTGGCACTGCTCCTCCTCTTCATCAGAAATATTACCGTTAATGTCAGCAATCTGGACTGTGGCCTTCAGCGCAGTGTGAAATTATTTAACAAGAGGATTACGCCCCATTCATTTCAAATACTGCCATTGTCGCACTTTCACTTTCACTGATGTGCAGTTCTCTCGCGGCTACAGCACTGCTAAACTAAAATACATAACAATCATTTTGGATATTTGTGCATGTCCCGATACTATTCAGATCCTGTGTATTATGATCACCGATGCCAGAATGCAGTCACTACCATAAACTGTAAATATGAACGGGTTTAGTCACACCTAAGTCCGTTCATATTTACGGACGTAGGTGAAACAAATGTGCCACCACTTTTGGTTAATTTATTGTCACATCAATAATAAAGTACATTTTGTGTGTATCTTTGTGATTTGTGAAAAATTGACTCCCTGAAAAGCACTGCAAAGCTTATAAATGGGATCCCACGGTTATTTGGGGCTTTATCAAAATGGCAGCGGGCAGCGGGCCACCCAAGTCTCATAGCACCAGCCCCTCACTGACCCTCTGCAGGTGGTGAGTCCACAGGAGGACGGCTGCTCTCTGAGTGTGAGCATAGCCTTGATCTTTCAGTGGGGGCTTTTGGGCAAAGTGGGGTTAAGTGTCTTGCCCAAGGACACAACGACAGCAGTCATCAGTGGGAGTTGGTGGAGAAGGTGTAGAGGTGGGAATTGAACCCACGACCTTCAGGCCTGAAGGCCAATGCGCTACCAACTGAGCTACTGTCGCCCCATGTATGAAATGTATGAATTTTATTAAATGAGAATGGACTTTGAACTGGAGTCTCCACAGGCTGCGCAAAGGCCCTCGGAGCTGTCCCTTTGAGCTGTGTATCTGTGGTCATTCATGAGCAAAGGTACTTTCTATATGCATGACTGTGTGTCTAAAAAAAAACGATATTTAAAACCGATGCATTATTATTATTATTATAATTCATTATTATTATTAGAAGCAGCTTAAATAAGTAAATAATCCTAAATAAATATGTGGATTGATCAACATTTGAGTCTTCAGTTAAAAAAAAAGTTTTACTGTTGAGAAAATCAGGCCAGATTTTCAAAACGGCCCCATTTTTCTCATTGGGTTTAGTCTTTACTTTGTAGAGTGAGGTTTAAAGGTGAACTACTGCATCCTTCTTTGACAGTCAGTGAGAGCCACATCATTACAGAACCACATCTGGACATTCAATACTCATCAATACTGTCATCAATACTTTCATCTTCTTTTATTGTTTAGCTCAAAGCTTAAATTGAAATGATGGAATTACCAGTGCATTTCCATCAGTTTCTTAGTTTCAGTGTTGTAAAGCGTTTGATGGACAGTCGTTTTTAGGGGCCGCAGTATCGACGAAGCAGGAACAGTTCTGCTCTCAGTGCGAGGGTTAACGTCTGATTGACTGGAAACACATAAAAGCCGACGTTTTACAGTTACCGATAGTCGCAGTGATAGATGTGGTGAAAGAACTGAGCGGAAAATGAAATGGGGTCTTCGAGACGCCGCTCGCACACATGTGTACGTCGCAACGCAATCACACTTAATGTTGTTATTGTCTCTCGACGTCGTTTCACAATGTACCCACACTGACCTCATGACCAGAGCAGTGTTGGCGTTGAAGGAAGTGTCTATACGGACTTTTGTTTTTTTGTCTATTCCATTACAGGACAACCCACTGTAACCTCTGTCCCAACTTCAGTGGCACTTTTAAGCTGTCCTCGGGTCAGATTTACCCGTCACAGTGATTCAAAAATACCCTAAATAAAACATTTCTGAGCTGAATGTTGATGATAATTTCAACCTTGACCATCTCTGAATCATTTAGACCCTATTAGACCCTAATTTAGGCATTTTTCTTCCATTTATATGCATCTGTGGTGGGCAATTTTGACCTCAGGGTAGCACAAGTGTTAAACAAAACTAATAATGAATGCATCCTAAAACTAGTTTGTATTTTATTATTTATTTTGATGCTGCACTAATGCACTTTCCTGGAGTTTTCCTTTTTATTTTTATGAATCATGCAGATGCAGCTAGCACTGTGTCCCACATTTCCCTTGGGACGATAACGTTGATCATATCTTATTCTGTGTTTTTAATGTTTTATGGGCCTGACTAATGAATGGAAGTATTTTGGTTGATGACTGTTTTTGACCCTTCTATATGAACTAGGAGTGAAATTTTCATTGTTGATGTATATAAACTATTGGGGACATGTTTTTGAGCTAAAAGCAATAACTCAAACTAATTTTAGTAATTGCTTCCCAATCAACTCATTTCTGTAGCAGTTCCTGGAGTTGGTCAATGGCTATAATAACAGTTGGCCAGTATGATCAAGGGGGGTGTAGAGTAAAGACAATCCATTGAACTACAAATATTTATAACTTTACACAACTTTCGGTCACCAACTGCCTTTCTTGCGTAAGCTATTCCTGCATCTGCTTTTGTCTCATCCCTTCATATTGACATAATACTAAATAAACATTGGCACATTTCAGGATAATCCCCTGCATAGTTCGCCGAGCACCCAGCTGCCAGCCTGTCAGTCCGTCCACACGGCGCAGTAGGTGGGTGAAGCCGTGCCAGGGCTGTCCTAAACCTGACAGGTAAATGAATGGAACCGCTTATTATCGGCTGACATGAAGCTAATTAGCTAATTCGTGAGCTTGTTTTAAAATTCAGTCAGAACTTCCCAATAATTTTGCCTGATCAGCGTTTAACTTTACCAAATTAGATCAGTCTGTCTGCGTGTAGTCCTCATGAGCGGTAACAGGAAGTGTCAAAAACAAATTTGTGACTGAAAATAAGGGTTTGGCGGTTCAGCTGCTATAAATAGATATTTCTCACACGGAGCCGGTGAGCTTTGTGTGGTCTTGACACATGCTTTAGTCAGCAATAACACAATATAAGCACCGCCGTTTTCTTAAATAGGCAATACAGACGTTTAGAAGGCTTAGACACCAAAAAATAAAGTGCTGATATTTTTGGCTGATATATAAAACTGAAATAAATATAATCAGTTTATCAAAATGAATTTAGCTTATACTCACTCCCTCATACTTCCATTCAAAATAATTGTTGCCATCTCAGACTCATCTTTGGGATTTAATTGTATAATTCTGCTGCACTACATGTGTGTGAAAGGCTGTGGTCAGAGCAGTGCGAGGCACAGGTGTCGGTCTGTCCTCTTTCATAACAAACATGACGGCTCACTACAGGACGACACATTTGCCAAGTCAAGTGAAGCATTCAACAGAGTTTATGTTTATTAGAGGGAAGAGTGAGAGAGAGCTTTGTTTTATAGTTTAAACCTATAACCTATCCAGGTGACATTTTAATCCTACCAAGTAATGAACTTCCATATTTTCTAGAAATAGAGTGGGATGTAAGATGTGCCAAAGACACAGCTCTGCCTTCTCTTGGCCACGTCATCATCGTTTATAATCCTCCCGTTACGGTCTGATCGGGCACAAACTGTCTGTCCTGAGACCAGTGTGTGGGCGGTGCATGACCCGACCCAGAAACAATAGGCCCTACACCGTGTAGCCTAAAATAAGATTTTCAAGACCATTATTAATTATTCTACCACCATTATAGCAGATCAAGATGGTGTTAGTGGACGAGCACTTTTTCAGCAGAGAAATACTTTCATTGTGCAGCTTAAGCGTAAATTGAGACTGAAAAACCAAAAGAGACATGATGGCTGCCTCAGAGCCCTCCCTCTCCACAGTCTGTGCTCAGCTTCATCTGCTTCATCACTGCTGCATTTAAACAGGGCCTCTCAGTTCTCTGCAGCTCAAGCTGCTGTTCGAGCAGCAACCCACCTCCTCCCCATCACCGCCTCTTCAGTGGAGTATCGTTAAAACGGTAGTAAAGAAACTGGCTTCATGTGTATGTAATGGTGGCATTACATACACATGTATATATATATATATATATATATATATATATATATATATATATATATATATATATATATATATATATATATATATACATATGCACAGCATATCTATGAGTGCTTCAGCAGAACATGACTTTCACACGAGCTCAAAAAGACACATAAAGAAGGTATAAAAATCAAGACCTTACACTGAAAAAATATCCAAGGACAAAAAGGTGTAGTGGTTTCAGTCCTTCTACATCTGTCACTGCAGAAGTTCATCCCCATAACTTCCTCCAGTGCGGCCTGGTTACACCCAGCCGCCTCTGCCCCTCTGGCCTCCCTGCCCCTCTGGCCTCCCTGCTCCTCTGGCCGCCGCCCTGCCCCTCTGGCCGCCCTGCCACTCTGGCCGCCGCCCTGCCACTCTGGCCGCCCTGCCCCTCTGGCCACCGCCCTGCCCCTCTGCGCGCCCTGCCCCTCTGGCCGCCCTGCCACTCTGGCCGCCGCCCTGCCACTCTGGCCGCCCTGCCCCTCTGGCCACCGCCCTGCCCCTCTGCGCGCCCTGCCCCTCGGCCGCCCTGCCACTCTGGCCGCCCTGCCACTCTGGCCGCCCTGCCACTCTTGGCCGCCCTGCCACTCTGGCCGCCCTGCCACTCTGGCCGCCGCCCTGCCACTCTGGCCGCCCTGCCCCTCTGGCCGCCCTGCCACTCTGGCCGCCGCCCTGCCCCTCTGGCCGCCCTGCCACTCTGGCCGCCCTGCCACTCTGGCCGCCCTGCCCCTCTGGCCGCCCTGCCACTCTAGCCGCCCTGCCACTCTGGCCGCCCTGCCACTCTAGCCGCCCTGCCACTCTGGCCGCCCTGCCCCTCTGGCCGCCCTGCCACTCTAGCCGCCCTGCCCCTCTGGCCGCCCTGCCCCTCTGGCCGCCCTGCCACTCTAGCCGCCCTGCCCCTCTGGCCGCCCTGCCACTCTGGCCGCCCTGCTCCTCTGTGGCTTTAGTCTGGAATCTTCAGACCTGGCCTCACCTCTTAAATTTAGACCCTGAGACGCACAGCTAACTACCTCCATGCTCCAGTGTGCGTGGGCAGGAGATCCCTAAAATTAACACCAGCGGACAGCTCTGGTCCCAGCCACATAGCTTTCATCCGGGGCCAATGACAACTGGGTTCTGTGCTCAGCTGTTCACGATGTGGTGTTGGCTTTAGCCCGCAACTTTCCCCCACACTGTCAGTGCTTCACCCTCTGGCTTTTGACGCCTCCCAAGACTGACACGCCTGGCAAGAATTACAAATCGTTTTTTTGTGAAAGAGTAATGCTTTCTCATGATATTGTTCCTGTTATATTAATTCTTGAAGGATGAGGAGAGATCAAAAGGACACACTTTTAGGGCCCAATGTATTCTTTTTCTTATTCTACTTATTATTCAGCCCTGTACGTACAGCCCAATCCAATCCAATATACAGGGTTTCCAGCTTCATGTGTTTTAAAAAGTATACAACTTTACACATATATTTGTTTTTCTTGTTGAAAGATCGTCATTGAAGAAATTACAGCTAGCTAAGAAACATAGCAGCTTCTTATTTTGTATATTTTGTGTGCTCCTGTCTGTGCGCTGCAACATTGACATTTCTTCACTGTGGGACAAGTAAAGGCTCTATCATCTTTTCTTATCTTATTCTTAGTCACATTTAATATTTTTGGATGCCCCTCCACCTCCGCTCAGATAATAAGCTAAGAGAAGATAGATGTTTGAGCTGTTCTGAGCCAAACGTGTCAGATCCAAAAACATTGTTCTGACATGATACTTGAAAATATAAGTTCCATTGTTATGGAGCTTTCGCGAAAGTTCACTGTGGTAGACCCGGCTGCTGCTGCCCAGGCCACAGGCTGCTCTTCCTCGACTCATCAATACCAGCAACGCCCACATCCAGTCAACCAATAACCACCAGGACAGCAAGTTAAAAGCCGGAGACTCCCACTTCCCGGCCTTCTGAAGTCTGCAAGCCTCCGCCGCCCCACCTCCTCCTTCTCTCATCGAAGCGTGCTTGCCTACTGCCTCTGCCGTCACCAGTACCTAGGCCCCGGGGGGGATTATGCACGCGAGCAAGCGCCGTGCTCAACAGCATCCCTCCCGGGCCTAGGGCGCCAAACATGCTCAATCAATAAACATGCTTAAATCTAATAAGTCTAACGGCATTTTCCTCATGGGTCTCTCCAAGGTGAAATATATATGTCATAATGTGGAAGATTATTTTCACATAAGCTAGCAGCAGGAGTTCCTCGTTCAGGACATGAATGGGTGTAGAGGTATGAGCTTAGTAAGACATTTTTCATAACAATCTTTTACATATAAAGTAAGTAAGTCATTATTTACATACCGCCTTTCACAGACCAGAGTCACAAAGCGGTTTACAATTGTGGGCATTAGTCTCTCACTCTACGTAGAGATGGGAGCGGGGCCAGTACAGGAGGCACATGCCAGACCTATTGTACATGTTTTTAGCGGTAGGGGAAACCGGAGCACCCAGAGGAAACCAACACAGACATGGGGAGAACATGCAAACTCCACTCAGAAAGGCTCTGTTCTGACCGGGATTCAAACCCAGGACCTTCTTGCTGAGAAGCGAGAGTGCTATCCACTCCGCCACCGTGCCGCCCAAATTAAAACTAAACTAAAACAAAATTAACTAATACAACTTTAAACTGTGTGTGTGGATAGGGATGTCTGGGTGTCTTTGCCCCCGCGACCCGGCAACGGATGAAGCGGAAGAAAATGGATGGATGGATGGAACTTTAAACTAAAAACATACTTTAAATGAACGTATATTTCTCAAAAAATTATGTAATATTGCTTTGCGAAAAATGTACCAGGATTTACCTGACTCCTCAACGCTACTCAGATGTTCTTGGTTTTTTTCCATCTAAATAATGTATATATTTGGGCAATACATGGCACAAACAGCATACATTCCCAGATTTGTTTTCCAAGATTGCAGGAATTTCAGACCAATCAATAACTAATCGATCTTCATAGTCAAATAGAAACGAAGTTGAATACTGCTGAACTTAGCACCACTTTCCCCTGGATCTTATCTGAGCTCCACCATCATTCTTTGGTTATTACAGCAGCTTAAGGCAGCCTCCCCTGTCCCTCTGCCGGTCCAGTGCAGACAGTTGGACCCACCTCCGTTCACACTGCCTCTGAACCAGCCCTGTCACAACAGTGTCAGAGCTCTATGTGCCACTCTATGATTATGTTTTAATAACATGCTGTCTGATCGCTCACAGCCGCTCATTTGCACTCAGATGGACGGAGCATTTCTGAGGCTACGGCTGTTGGTGTTGTTGGGGCGTCAGATTGCCATGTCCTTGTCTGCAGCTCCGCACCGGGGATGAGACGTGCTTGGGATTTGACAATGGGACGACCTGTCAATACATCGCTCTGAGCTCAGAGTTATGTGGACAACTTTAAGAGATTAAAAGTGTTGTCAAGTTGGCACTGACTTTGTTTAAAGGTCGAGATTGAAAAGCGACTTATATTCAAGGAAGATAGAAGTTTTGGTCTCGCTTTAGGTTAGCCCTCACTAATTAACAGCTAAAGAAGAGCTAATTAGTGTGTGATTCCTGATTTATCTATTAAGTACTTTTTAGTCCTTACTCTACATAGCCTTATTCAACATCTAACTACTATTTGACACTTTCACATGTGGGTTAGAGCTAGGATTAGGATTACGGTTAGGGTTAGGGTAAAAAAACAAAAACATAATTAGCTGTTTATTAGTGAGGGCTAATCTAAAGTGATACCGAAGTTTGAATAGAGACCAGTCGCAGTGCCTCCTCTCATGTCAGATCTTTAAAAGTTAATTTGTGCTCTTCTGGGACAATTGATTGAACTGGGTATTCCATCAATCCATTTTCTTCCCATTAATCCATTTCTGGGTTTGGGGGCAGCTAGTCAGAGCTGCACCCAGTACACTTCAGTACAGCACCAGCCTCTCACTGATCCTCCTGCAGGTGGTGAGTCCACAGGAGCTGAGATCTTTCAGTGGGGGCTTCAGGCAAAGTGGGTTTAAGTGTCTTGCCCAAGGACACAACGACAGCAGTCATCAGTGGGAGCCGTGAAGTAGGTCTTACGGTGGGCTCAAACCCACAACCTTCAGGCCCAAAGGCCAATTGATGCTCTACAAACTGAGCCACTGTCGCCCCTTGGATTGGGTATTCCAATTTATTCATATGGCATATTTCAGAAACATGGAGTTTCCAAAGTCCTGCACAATAAAGAGACTAAAGCATAGAGAAAAACAAATGCCTAGTAAGACAATAACATCTTGAAAAATCTAATAGGATAAATGTAGTGGCCAAAATGTACCTCCAGCCTCTAGATGTCACTAGTGCTGGATACTGTCACGTCTGTGTGTATTTAAGGCAGGTAATTAGTGCAGCAGGTGTTGCATGTGTGAGGAGGAACAGTCTTTTGACCGTGTTATTGAGCACATGGAAATAAAAATGGGGAATTTGTTGCTTATTTTTTACCATTGGACTCATTTTTGGACCAAACACACGTCTGAAATCCCAGCAAACATTGCAACCTAGTGGTTCAGTGACATAGGGCAACTCCCGCTCCCATCTCTGTGTGGAGTGAGAGGACCAGGGCCCAAAAATAACAATTGTAAACCGCTTTGTGACTCTGGTCTGTGAAAGGCGCTATATAAAAATAAAAATTACTTACTTACCTACTTACTCAACAATATATTACAAATACAGACTATAACAATATAACGGCTTTTATGATCGAGCCAATATGGCAATTTACCATGGCTGATAATGGCCCAGAATGTTATAGTTTTAACTTTGACTCATACAAACTTGTTCTGTGGTAATAACTCAAAGCGTCTCTTTACTGGTATTGGCTCGTGTCAGGTATCGTCAGGTAAAGTCGGAACATCGAGATCAGTATCAAACAGGCAAAAGATGGATTGCTGGACGTGGCTGTGTAGCAAATACTTCTGTTCTTGAGCAAGACATTTTCACCCACTTTCCCTCTGGTAACGCTTATGAAGGTGTACTAATGTGGGATGTAACTATTAGCCCCAATCTAGAGTTTATACGACATGCATTCTGTGCGTTCATTGACGGGCAGAACTTTACAGATTACAGGTCGTGGGAGTGGGGGAGCATCCGTCTTTGCTGCAGATATTTGAGGAGACTGTTATCAGACCGGCAAAGAAAATCCCCTCAGACCGTTCTCATGTCCTTTACTCTCAGTATGAGCTCCTAACATCGGGCCGCCGCTACAGAGAACCAACTAGAAACAAGAGAATATATCTGAACCGGTGTACGAACTGGTTCCTACCCACAGCTGTGAACCTCCTGGATGCAGGTCATGGAGCAGAGCGGTGATGGTTTATGTCTGTGTTTTTTCAGGGTAAGTAATGTTTTTTAATATAGTGCATTTTACAGACCAAGCTCACCCAAAAGCGCTTTACAATTGTTAAGAGTTCAGATAGTTTTCCATTCTCTCCACCACACGGTCACGACGGAAGTGAGTCGCCGAACACACTGGTCCAATCAAAGCCTCCGACTAAACACCATCCATTCACTCACATTCAGACATATTGTACGTTTTTAGTGGTAGGGAAAACCGGAGCACCTGGAGGAAACCTACTCAGATACGAGGAGAACATGCAAACTTGACTCAGAAATACCCTGGTCCGACCGGGATTTGAACCACCAATATAGCAGCCTTTGAGTCCAAGACAAAATGCACTCTGCAGATCTAACTATAATAACATTGCTGAATTGCAGGGGAGGAGTTTGATTTTAGTTTTTAGTTTCGTAAAAAGCAGCACCAGGTTAAGTATAAAATATGAACTTTGGCCAAACTTTCACATCGTTTGACCATTGAATTTACTCTCTGAACTTATGATGTGGTTTAAACTTGAAGGTCTCTTTTGCTTGTGTGGGCGGCACGGTGGCTGAGTGGATAGCACTCTCGCCTCTCAGCAAGAAGGTCCTGGGTTCGAATCCCGGTCGGACCAGGGCCTTTCTGAGTGGAGTTTGCATGTTCTCCCCGTGTCTGCGTAGGTTTCCTCCGGGTACTCCGGTTTCCCCTACCACTAAAAATATGTCCAATAGTTCTGGCATGTGCCTCCTGTTCTGGCCCCTCTCCCATCTCTGTGTGGAGTGAGAGACAAATGCCCAAAAAAAATAAAAAAAATAAATTAACAATTGTAAACCGCTTTTAGACTCAGATTTGCAGTGAAAAGGCGGTATATAAATAAAGATTACTTACTTGTTTAACCCATATTTCCAAAAAGCAGTTAGCACCTCATTCACCACTTATAACTAGTGCTTTTTGAGGAAAGCCCAACAGAAAAAATCTTGTTGCTTGTAGCTTTGTGACAAGCCGCAAGACAAAAATTGTACTTGAGAACTTTTGCTACAATCTGGAACATTTGTAGTTTGTACATAACTTGTCTATGATTGTTCATTAATGTGTTGAATATATATTAAACTATGACAGAATACACACAGGGACTGGACTCCTGCTGGTCCCAGAGTCAGGACTAAACATGGGGAGGCTGCATTTCAGATTCACGCTAAAATCTGGACCAATCTTCCTGAAAACATGATAAAGGCTTCTTCTCTGACAGGTTAAAAACAGTTGTGTTTAGCTGTGCATAAAACCGAGGGAATTGTATATTTGTTTCTTTCTTTTTAATGTACTGGGATTATTTATTTATGATTTTAATTCTGTTCTGTTTTCAGCACTTTGAGTTGCCTTGTGTATTGTGCTATACAGATTAACTTGCCCTGTCTAATACAATCTGTAGGTTATGTTTAGCGTCTTATAGTTTTCTCCTTAAAAAGAGCGCTAGAGAAAAACACAGTTAGTTGCAAATGACATTAATTATTGACTTGTGCTGTAGCCTGTTTCTGAGGGCTGCAGAATTCTACTTAAAACCTGCTTTGTGATCGAGCTTAAAGGTTAAACTTACTGAGTATATTGTGGGTAACGACCTGTTTGTCTAACTGCGCTTTAACGCAGCGTAAATCCACAGGGACGTTGTAAATGTAGCGTTTTTTTGTTGACCTGCGAGTGCTCCCTGCTGAGTTGGCAACCAGGATAGGCACAGCTGTCATTTTTACTCCTCTACCACCAAGTTTCCACGTACGATCTGCATCACGCTTCAAGATACGAACCAAAAACCAGCCCACGGGCAACTTTTTACGCACGTTTGACGCACGCTGCTCAGTGAGGCAGACAGACGCAGCGGTATCACACACACGCACGCACACACACACACTAAAACAAAAAGAAACTCCGCATAACTTCAGCTAAGTGAAATAATCTGAATTTTCTGATTAAACCTCACCTTTTATGCTGATCCCGAGCCCTCCTACGTCCTGCTTGATCACTCGCACCGTGCGCTTGACGTTGGTGATGGTTTCGGGCACGGGGGACGAGCTGAGGTTTGGTGGGTCTCCATTCAGGGCTCCGACCGGGCCGGGACTGGGCTTAACGGGCTCCTCGCCACTTTCCCCCGGATTCACGGTGAGCGCGTCCTCCGTGAGCGTGGCCAGCACTCGGATCCATCGGTCCACGGTGATTCGAAGTTCCAGCAGTCCTGTCTTTTGCGCCTTCATCGCGGCAGCCATGTTTCAGCGCATTCCTGGAATAACTCCGAGGCTCTGGCAGCAGGCAGTGGTCCTGTAAAGAGATAGGGGCTGTTATGGGACGGGCCAGGGGCAAGGGGCGCGCAGACAGCCCCCCTCCCCTCCCCTGTCCGTGCGTGCTACACTCCTCCCAGCTTTTACTACCGACGCAGGAGTGTGTAGTTACAGCAAGTTACCTCCTGTTTGCTCCAACTTAAAGTGGCAGTCCCATAAAGGTATATGTAAGGGGGATTTTATACTTCCGGGTGGATCATCAAGACTATTGGTGCTCTCAATTGTCAACCATTCTCATAAACAAGATCAGAAAGTTTAGTTCAAAAAGTGGAGAGAGCGTATCTTTACTAAAACATGGGAACATCCTCCTAAATACCTTTAACACTAGAACTGCCAGAACAGTCAATTTGACGGCTTTTTGATTTTAGAAGTGTAATTACTCAGTATATGTACCTTTGCGGTCTCCATAACTCTATGACTATTTCTGAATCTACATGTAGTTTATTTCTACGTCAATATGTGTATGACATCATCTCATCGTTACCATGGCAACACATTTTGGCTGTATTTCAAGTTATATTGAGCAAATATTGAGTTTTATTGAGCTGAAGCACTCATTGGAAGTGTTTTTGTAGTACTAAAAAAAGTACAAGGCCAAAACATATGTAAACTAGTGATGTACCAAACGGTTTGAAGGTTTTGAACGAGTTGAGATGAGTTTCAATGTAGTTCAACCGTTATTGTTTTGAACCACGTACAGGTAAAAGAGTTTGGGATAAAGTAAAAAAAGAAAGACTTCCAGAATCGTGCAGTGCTGGATCCATGACCACAAAGACAATGTTTATTAAAGTGGTCTAAACGTTTAAGGCAAAGTTAATGTACTACACTTTGAAAAACACTGCATAAAATATTGCTAATTGTTTTTACACTCATTCACCCTTTAAAGGCAAGATTATTCATACACAAGATAGAAACACTCACACAAGGCATTGAAGTCATAAAAGTAGATTATAAAAAAAAATCCCTCAGTTGTAGCCCAGTTAAACAGGACTGTTTTTAACCTGGATTAAAAACATTGTCAGAGAAGAAGCCTGTCTCACATTTTCAAGAAGATTGTTCCAGATTTTAGCTGCATGAATCTGAAATGCAGCTTCCTCATGTTTTGTCCTGACTCTGGGCATCAGCAGGAGGCCAGTCCCTGTGCTCCTCCCAGACCCAGCAGGAGGCCAGTCCCTGTGCTCCTCAGAGTCCCAACATGAGGCCAGTCCCTGTGCTCCTCAGAGTCCCAGCAGGAGGCCAGTCCCTGTGCTCCTCAGAGTCCCAACAGGAGGCCAGTCCCTGTGCTCCTCAGAGTCCCAGCAGGAGGCCAGTCCCTGTGCTCCTCAGAGTCCCAGCAGGAGGCCAGTCCCTGTGCTCCTCAGAGTCCCAACAGGAGGCCTGTCCCTGTGCTCCTCCCAGACCCAGCAGGAGGCCAGTCCCTGTGCTCCTCAGAGTCCCAACATGAGGCCAGTCCCTGTGCTCCTCAGAGTCCCAGCAGGAGACCAGTCCCTGTGCTCCCCAGAGTCCGAGTTGGTTCATATGGCACTAACATGTCATTTATGTACCGTTATAATCTCAGGCTGTTTTTACCATAAAGCCGTGAACCCAGTGTAATGTTGTGGTAACATTTCCTGGACTAACTCGCACTCGGGAGCTCAGTCGACTTATGCTTTTTCTCATAACTTCCTGTGGCGGCTCGGCTCGTCCCTGTTGCATTAATTACACATTTATGACAGTGAGCTAAGTGCGATTACTTTTTACTCTCCCTCTAAAAAGGGTTGATCCGACACTCAGACCCTCTATTCATAGTCCGTTATATAATTAAGTTTTCTCCTTTTTATATTCTTTGATTCTCAGACCCCAGAGCTCATGCAGAAAGAAAAGTCCAGGCATTCAGACCCATGCAGCATTACATATATATGGATATGATGAAAATAACAAAAGAACGTTGTAATATCTACATTTACAACTAAAAATCATCAGAGGCCAAAAAAACTAATTTGCTACAAGCCACATGGTACTTTACCTACGCGGTGAGTTCTGGCGCCCGGATCACTGACTTTCTGATTGGTGAAACGGTGGAGGGCGGGACATCGAAATGAAAACAATAACAAGATTTAGGAACTGTGTATTAATTTCGAAATCCAAATATCGCTGAACTACTTTTATCAGTTAAAGAAGTATTCAAAAAGGGCATGTTTTAGAAATGCCTTTTGACAGATTAGGGCCCTTTAATGATGACTTGAAATCTTACATATTGTTACTTTAATTTTCAACTTTCAACTGAAAACATGTTTCCACAGCTCACAGACAAAAACAATGTTCCTTCAAAGAGAAAACACACGTCCTGAACATTAAATGAATAATCCAATATTTTCTTATGTCTCTGTTCGGTTGGTTTTAACACTGACCATCTGGCTCCTGGGCCTTGACTTTGACACCCATGCTGTAGAATGACAACACAACTGCATGTGTATGTCTGAAGGAACAAAGGCTGTAAAATATTGATATAGAAACAAATTTTCCATTGGTTACATCATAATGTGATTAAATATGCACAAAGTCCCCAGACTGACTGAGACTGTCATCTGAAGCAGGATCCTCCACCAGCGACAGATCCACAGACACGCTACAGACACGGTACAGACACGGTACAGACACAGTACTGACACGGTACTGACACGGTACAGACACAGTACTGACACGGTACAGACACGGTACAGACACAGTACAGACACAGTACAGACACGGTACAGACACGGTACTGACACGGTACAGACACGGTACTGACACGGTACAGACACGGTACTGACACGGTACAGACACGGTACTGACACGGTACAGACACGGTACAGACACAGTACTGACACGGTACAGACACGGTACAGACACGGTACAGACACAGTACTGACACGGTACTGACACGGTACAGACACGGTACTGACACGGTACAGACACAGTACTGACACGGTACAGACACAGTACTGACACGGTACAGACACGGTACAGACACAGTACTGACACGGTACAGACACAGTACTGACACGGTACTGACACGGTACAGACACGGTACAGACACAGTACTGACACGGTACAGACACAGTACTGACACGGTACTGACACGGTACAGACACGGTACAGACACGGTACAGACACGGTACAGACACGGTACTGACACGGTACAGACACGGTACTGACACGGTACAGACACGGTACAGACACAGTACTGACACGGTACAGACACGGTACTGACACGGTACGACACGGTACAGACACGGTACTGACACGGTACAGACACGGTACTGACACGGTACAGACACGGTACTGACACGGTACAGACCGGTACAGACACGGTACTGACACGGTACACGACACGGTACTGACACGGTACAGACACGGTACAGACACACGTACTGACACGGTACAGACACGTACGACACGGTACAGACACGGTACAGACACGTACTGACACGGTACAGACACAGGTACAGACACAGTACTGACATGGTACTGACACGGTACTGACACGGTACAGACACGGTACTGACACGGTACAGACACGGTACAGACACAGTACTGACACGGTACAGACACGGTACTGACACGGTACAGACACGGTACAAACACGGTACAGACACAGTACTGACACAGTACTGACGACACGGTACAGACACGGTACAGACACGTACTGACACGGTACAGACACGGTACAGACACGGTACTGACACGGTACAGACACGGTACTGACACGGTACAGACACGGTACTGACACGGTACAGACACGGTACAGACACGGTACTGACACGGTACAGACACGGTACAGACACGGTACAGACACGGTACAGACACGTACTGACACGGTACAGACACGGTACTGACACGGTACAGACACGGTACAGACACAGTACTGACACAGTACTGACACGGTACAGACACGGTACAGACACAGTACTGACACGGTACAGACACGGTACAGACACGGTACTGACACGGTACAGACACGGTACTGACACGGTACAGACACGGTACTGACACGGTACAGACACGGTACTGACACGGTACTGACACTGTACAGACACGGTACTGACACGGTACAGACACGGTACAGACACAGTACTGACACGGTACAGACACGGTACAGACACGGTACAGACACGGTACAGACACAGTACTGACACGGTACTGACACGGTACAGACACGGTACTGACACGGTACAGACACGGTACTGACACGGTACAGACACGGTACTGACACGTGCATGTTTGTTTGTGTAGTTCATGGACACGCACACATACTGTATATACATTTCTCCGTTGTGAGATCAATACGGTTTATCTTATCTTACAACAGACAAGCTTTAAGGCCACAACCACACCGTGAACAACACAGAGGTTAAACTTCTGTGTGCACAAAATCCCCTTGATTAATAGATGGATAGATAGATAGAGATATAGATATAGATATAGATATAGATATAGATAGATAGATAGATAAAGAGATATAGAGATAGATATAGATAGATAGATAGATAAAGAGATATAGATATAGATAGATAGATAGATAGATAAAGAGATATAGATATAGATATAGATAGATAGATAAAGAGATATAGATATAGATAGATAGATAGATAGATAAAGAGATATAGATATAGATATAGATAGATAGATAAAGAGATATAGATATAGATAGATAAAGAGATATAGATATAGATAGATAGATAGATAGATAAAGAGATATAGATATAGATAGATAGATAGATAGATAGATAGATATAGATTGATAGATAGCAAGACTGTACAAAGCTGCTATTGTGAGTAAATACATTAATTATATTACATTGAAGTGCATCAGGACTGGGAGGAGGCCCCGGGGAAGGCCCATGTCTCTCAGCTGGCCTGGGAACAGCTTGGGATCCCCCCGGACGAGCTGGAGGAAGTGTGTGTGG